CAGCAGGGGAGTCAAAGGACCGTAAATATATGTGTCTGTGGAAGCCTGTATCAAAGTGAACCTGCTTTGTCCCGCATTGACATGCGCAGAACTTTAAAAGCAAGCCTGTTCACAATCTGCAATAGACAGTACACAGAGCTGATCATGCACAGCTCAGTGTACATTCTTAGCACGCCTTGCTGCTGCAATGAATGAAATCCGGTATGGAGTTATATCCTCCCATGCTGGCCAGCCAAGATGACCGAAGGCCACAAACCCAGGAGAAGCCAGGGAGAAGATGTTGGCAAGCAGACATTGCATTGCTGGAGCTGCATTAAGGGCTGGTTCACAGCATGCCTGTACATGAATCACACAGAAATGTGCTGTGCGTTCCTGTGCGATCCATGTGCGGTTCTCTGCTGTGCGATTTCAGTCCATTCTATGTGAATGGGCTAAAATCGTACTGCACCACACCAAAGGTAGTGTATGCACTACTTTTTGAAACGCACTGCAACTGGATCGCATCGTACTAAAGTACCCTGCAATTTTGTGTGGGCAGGAGCAGGCAAACACACTGTGCTTGGGACCTGCATTTCAGGTGTCATTAACGTATCATTGAGGCGTGAATTGCACAGGAATGCACTTTACTTCACGTACAGGTATGGTGTGAACTGACCCTAAGGTAATAAAAACCTTCCACTTGCTGTTCATCCCCCCCCACCCCTCCTCTTACTTGAATTCTCTCAATCCACTACTCTGCCCATCTGCAACAACGCTGGTACCTTTCCCTGTTCTCACAGGACAGACTGAGAGCATTGGGCGCAATTGGTTCCTGCTTCTGTTGGTCAAATCCTGTACACACCATTTACTAAGAGGACACACGGAGAAGAGGAGGAGCACACAAGACTGCTGGGGGAACACAGAAGAGGTGGTAAGGGGTCATCATTGCATATAGCACAGAGGTAAGTATAAACCAGCTATTTTAGTTAATGGAAAAAAAAACAGGAGCCTTTAATATCACTTTAAATATATTTAATGCTATGTAAATATACAATAATAGTAATAATAATAATAATTAACCACTTGCCCTCCTGAGGATTTACCCCCCTTTCTGACCAGACCTCTTTTTGCTACTCGGCGCTGCACTAATTAAACTGATAAATGCACGGTCATGCAATGCTGCACCCAAACAAAATTTACGTCCTTTTTTTCACACAAATAGAGCTTTCTTTCGGTGGTATTTGATCACCTGTGCGCTATTTATTTTTCACGCTATAAACAAAAAAAGACCAAACATTTTGAAGAAAAACGATATCTTTCACTTTCAGCTATAAAAAATATATAGTAAACTCAAAGTTAGTTATAAATTTAGGCCAAAATGTATTTTGCTACATGTTTTTGGTAATCAAAATCCCAATAAGTGTATATTGATTGCTTTGTGTGAAAGTTATAGCATCTACAATATATGGTATAGATACTGCAATTTACGCCATTTTTTTTTGCTATACAGCGCTGCGCTACTTTAACGGACAATTGCACAATCATGGAATACGGTACATAAATGAAATTTATGTCCTTTTTTTCACACAAATAGAGCTTTCTTTTGGTGGAATTTGATCACCTGTACACTTTTTATTTTTGGCGCTATAAACAAAAATATTTTTAAAGAAAAAAAAAAAATTAAAACTATATTTTCTCATTTTGGTCATAAAAAATATCCAAAAAAAAACCTAAAATTTCATCATAAATTTAGGTCAAAATTTATTCTGCTACATGTTTTTGGTTAAAAAAATCCCAGTAAGTGTACATTTATTGCTTTGTGTGAAAGTTATAGTGTCTACAAACTATGGTATAGATAATGGAATTTACACAGCTTTTACTTTCTGACTGCCCATCACATTTCTTGAGGTGCTAAAACCAGGATAGTACAAACACCCTCAAATGACCCTTTTTTGGAAAGTAGACACCCTAAGCTATCTGCTAAGAGGCATATTGAGTCCATGGAAGATTTATTTTTTTCCACACGTTTCTGGAAAATGGCAAAAACATTTTTTTTTTACACAAAGTTGTCATTTAAATGATTTATTTCTTGCACAAGCCATGGGTATATGTGGAATTACACCCCAAAATACATTCTGCTGCTTCTACCGAATATGGGGATAACACGTGTGAGACTTTTTGGGAGCCTAGCCACATACAGGAGCCTGAAATCCAATGACCACTTTGAAAGCCTGAAGGTGCGTAACTTCCTCATTTCACTTCTTCAATGCCTATCACAGTTTTGAAGGCCCTGACATGCCCCCCTCCCCCCAAATGACCCCTTTCTGGAAAGTAGAAAAAAAAATTGTCATTCTCCAAAAACTTGTGGTAAAAAAATAAATTCTTCTATTGATTCAACATGCCTCTCAGCAAATAGTTTGGGGTGTCTCAAAGGGTCAGGAGTCCTCCTGCGCTATAAAAGGAAATAAACCTAGCCTAAAGCTGCCAACACTCAAAGACTGATACCAAAACAGTGTAAATCATACATATAAATAGTGTAGCGCTCATACCAAATAATAAATACTAAAAAATATGACAAATACATGCAATGAGGCTCTTCACTAAAATATAAATAATATAAAATAAAAATATGACAAACTTCATACAATGTAACTCTCCATTACAATGGTGTAAAACATATATAGCGTCAGACCTGAAATAAGTATCTGTGCCCCTCACTGAAAAAACGTGCTCACACACTAAATTAATACACTATAAAATATGTGCCTTTCACTTGAAAAAAAATGTGCACACACACTTAATATATTAAATATTTAGCCATATATCTAAAAAAAACCCTATCAACCAAGGGGCTAAACATAAAGTGCTAAAGTGCAAAAAAAGTGTCCACTCTTCAAAAAATGATCACAGCAATGTCCGTTTGGTGATGAATACAATCATGCAATGTGCAGTGGTATTTAACAATTCCGTGATTGTGCCAAACACTCTTCTATTTGCGGCTAGATTGCCTCCTCACCTCCTCCCAGTGACCTCTAGGGGCCAACACGCTTGCAGGATCACCCTGGATCCCTAAACCATATGGGCCAGCAGCTTTCTTCCTTCAATGAATCTCCTTATGGGGCTCCTATTGCCCTTGATCAGCCAAGATATCTCCAGAGGACAATGGCTCACTAGCCTCCTCTGCTGCCACTTCCAGCAACGTCTCCTCTCTGCTTCCTCCCAACTCCAGTTGGGAGGAAGCAGAGAGGAGACGTTGCTGGAAGTGGCAGCAGAGGCTGGTGAGCCATTGTCCTCTAAAGATATCTTGGCTGATCAGGGGCAACTGGAGTTGGGAGGAAGCAGAGAGGAGACGTTGCTGGAAGTGGCACAAAAACACAATATATTGGCCAATAATTTGGTAATACAAAAGATGATGGTATGTCGAGTAAATAGATACCAAACATGACATGCTTTAAAACTGCGCATGCCCCGTGCAATGGCGACAAACTGCATACATTTTTAATATCCATAGGCAACGCTTTAAAAGCCTTTAAAAGCTACCATTTTAGATTTACAGAGGAGGTCTATTGTTAGAATTACTGCCCTTGATCTGGCGTTTACGGCAATACCTCACATGTATGGCGCAACTGCTGTTTACATACAGGCACAGGGTCAACGCTTGTGCACACAGGTGTGCGTGCATGGGAGTTTTTAAGTTATTTTGATTCTTTTTATTATTTGTACACTGTACCTTTTCATTTTTTTTTTCTTTGATCACTTTTACTGCTATCACAGGGAATGCAAATATCCCCTATAACTTCAATGGGCATTGTCAAATATTATTTTTTGAGAAATCTGGGGTCTATCAGACTCTGGATATCTTCTCTGCCCTTACATTATCTAATCAAACCAAAATCGGTGTGATCAGATGCTTTCCCAATTTACAAATGGCGCTGTTTATATCCTGCGAAACTGAAGTGATGAAATGCTCGTAGCTTCCGAATTCTTAGACTATAGAGATGATTGGCACCACTCCGATCTCCAATCAGCTCTATGGTCAGCTGGCAGAAACACCGGCTGCATTCTCCCCGATGGCACGGGACTGCCCGAGAAGGCCGTGGAAGGCAGTGGGGGAGGGGGGCATCATCTCCCGCTGCTTGTAAAAGCGATCATGCAGCTAATTAGCCACTATTATTGATTTTACATGAAAGCTGATCGCCGGCTGAAAAAAATTATACCAGGATGATGCCTGCGGCTGTAGGCATCATCCTGGTATAACCATTCAAAGTCCAGTGATGTACCAGTACGTCGCTGGTCCTTGTTGGGTATATATGCTATCCAAAACTTATAAGTATAGCCTGTTGCCCTCTCACAGGTCTTCTACATCTTGACCCCATATCTGGCACGCTTGCTGGGGAGAAATTGTTTGAATGCAAGGCGGCCAGAAAAATGAATCAGGGACTCATCAACGCAGATTTTTTTGCTGGGGAGTATAGACATCTGCAAATTTTTGGTTAAGGTGATTTGCGAGGGGCAGAATTTTGTGGAGCCGGTCAAATTCAGTGTCACCCCAAGGATGACAGAGTGTGTTGTCGTTGAAATGCATAAAACACATTATACTCTCATCTATGCCTGGCCATGGCAGCAGAGAACACGAGCATATGATGAATCGGGTCTGCGGACCAATACAACCGGAATTCATTTCTTTTAGTAATGCCCATGTTGAGGGTTAGGCCCAAAAAAAATGTACTGTATTTTTTTCGCTCATGAGACACACTTTTTTCCCCAAAAAAATGGAGGGAAAATGTCAGTGCGTCTTATGGAGCGGTCCGGTATTTCCACTGTGTCAGAATACCGGGCCGGCCCGCTCAGCTCTTCTCTGTAGCTGGACCTTACCTGTTCCTCGGTCCAGCGCTGTAGTCTTCCCGCGCCAGCATCTTTAGTGTGGGCACCCGGCTGTGACAGGTCCCAGAAGACGCTGGGCCATTCACAATGCACAGTGCTTCTCGCGTATACGCAGTGGGCACACGACTGTCAGCCGGGTGCCCACACTAAATAGGGGGCAACTCCGTGGGAGTGGGTACCTGTCAAATTCAGGTACCCGCTCCCCCTCCCTCCTCAAAGGTCCACAGTCTCTGGTTATCTCCTGTACTGTCTGCAATCTCTGCTCATCCCCTGTACTGTCTGCAGTCTCTTGGTCATCCCCTGTACTGTCTGCAGTCTCTGGTCATCCCCTGTACTGTCTGCAGTCTCTTGGTCATCCCCTGTACTGTCTGCAGTCTCTGGTCATCCCCTGTACTGTCTGCAGTCTCTTGGTCATCCCCTGTACTGTCTGCAGTCTCTGGTCATCTCCTGTACTGTCCGCAGTCTCTGGTCATCTCCTGTAAAATGTCCGTAGTCTCTGGTCATCTCCTGTACTGCGTCCGCAATCTCTGCTCATCTCCTGTACTGTGTCCGCAGTCTCTGGTCATCGCCTGTACTATGTCTTCAGTCTCTGGTCATCCCCTGTACTGTGTCCGCAGTCTCTGGTCATCTCCTGTACTATGTCCGCAGTCTCTGGTCATCTCCTGTACTATGTCCGCAGTCTCTGGTCATCTCCTGTACTATGTCCGCAGTCTCTGGTCATTTTCTGTACTATGTCTGCAGTCCATTGGTTCAGAAACATTTTTGTCTTGTTTTTCACCTCTAAAACCTAGGCGCGTCTTATGGTCAGGTGCGTCTTATGGAGGGAAAAATACGGTAAATTCGGAAACCGTAATGAGTTTCCATGCGACTGGTCTGTCAAGGTTTGAATTTGGGTTGGCGGCGATAAATTGTTGTGCACATAAATTGCTTTGATCCACAATCAATGCATACAGATATTCCTTGAAAAACAACTCCAAAAGTCAAGGGGAGTAGTTATATTTGCTATTTCCACCTGAATTCTGGGTTGGGCAGTGAATGGGGGAAGCACGGGTGCTGCACAATTTGTGGGCTGTCAATCGGGATTTGCAAACACATCCGGAAGGATACTAGGAGCTCTATGGGCCTATGTGCGAATTCTTGGTGGCTGCGGGACAATACTTGTGCTCGCCACCGCACCGGCTTGTACTGGACTTATGGGACTCACCACGTCACCAAGTCATACTACAGTGCTGGTATTATTATTATTATACAGGATTTATATTGCGCCAACAGTTTGCTCAGCGCTTTACAGTATAACGGGAGACAATACAGCAACAATACAGTTCAATACAAGAGGGTAGGAGGGCCCTGATCCAGGGAGCTTACAATCTAATAGATATGTGAAAGACCAAGATGCACTAGACCGCTGGTGCTCGCCAGTTCACCAAAAGGTAGCGCGGCACTAGTACTGGCACTCTGCTGCATATGAGAGTCATCAAAATTTACTGAAAAGTGCTAACAGAGATCAGGCCTGATTCTGCCAACACTGCAGTTTTGTGTGCAATGTATCCAGTGACAGTGACCTACTGACACTGCACTTGCTGGGGGAGAAGGGGGGGTAAGCGTAGGGGCTAAACGCAGGTGCTGGCAGGTGCCGGGGCTGATCCTGCTAACGCTGCGTTTTTGGGGATGCTATACTAATGTGAACGCTGGTATAGTGCTGATCTGTTCAAACATACGTGAAAGTTATAGCATCTACAAATGGCGGGAAAGATACTGGGATTTTTTTGTTATATTAATAATGGCGATGATCAGCAATTTATGGCGGTGATCAGCGATTTATGACAGTGATCAGCGACTTATGGCGGGACTGCGGCGGACATTTTGACACTGGGGGGAACTGACTTGGGGTCACTGAGATCCCCAGTGACACCAATACAGTGATCAGTGCAAAAAAAAAAACAAACCACTGACACTGTACTAATGGTACTGGGGAGGAAGGGTTAACATTTTTTAGGCAATCAAAGGGTTAACTGTGTGAGGGGAGTGTTTTACTAGTGGGCGGGGGGGGGTGTACTTCACAGGAACACACGGATCCTGAGAGCTAAACTCTGCTCTCAGGAACAGTGAGTTGGTAACTGACAGGGAGCAGAGCTGCAATGTAAACACTGCAGCTGTGCTCCGTCAGTGATTGCCAGTAATCGCCGGGACCCAGCGGGTAATCACCGGCCGGGACCCGGTGATTGACACCTGCGGCTGCGATCAGCAGCATGGGCAGGGCGGGCACGCGCCTCGAGTGCGCCCCCTACTTGATATGCAAAATGACGTTTTAAAACATCACTGGGCACAGCGCTGCTGCCCTGCCACAGTATATATACTGTGGCTGGTCGGCAAGCGGTTTAATAATATTAATGCTAATAGTAATTATTATTATTAATTACAATAATATGATATTAAATATTTTTTATATTTTGTAATCATAAAATAACAGTATTAAAAAAGTAATAATAATGATAAATTGTATTAATATGAGATTAGATTAAATATATTGAATATATGTAATTATGCATATAATAATAATGATGATGATAAATTAACACATCAGCCTCAGGGACAAGTTCACTTGCTGCCTAATATATTCCAACTACATTCAGTTTGCCACTGTAATGAAAAAATCAATATTATACACTTTACCTGTCAGTGGTAATATCGTTATGGTTGATTGGTATATACAGTTGTGACCAAAATTATTCAACCCCCACTGAAATTGAGTGTTTTGGCCAGTTTGACATTGCTTTTGATCATTCAGTCATCTTGCTTACATTTACATTAAAGAGGCACTTGTAGGTCAGACAAATATAACATAACAGTTATAATGAAATAACCACAAATGTCTTTTCTGTGCTCACAGCATTATCAGTTTTATTCAACCCCCAAGTGACATTCAATCTTAGTACTTAGTACAGCATCCTTTTACAGTTATAACAGCTTTTAAACGTGAAGCATAGCTTGACACAAGTGTCTTGCAGCGATCTACGGGTATCTTCGCCCATTCTTCATGGGCAAAGGCCTCCAGTTCAGTCACATTCTTAGGCTTGCGCACTGCAACTGCTTTCTTTAAGTCCCACCAGAGGTTCTCAATCGGATTTAAGTCTGGTGACTGCGATGGCCACTCCAAAATGTTCCAGCCTTTCCTCTGCAACCATGCTCTAGTGGACTTGGAGGTATGCTTGGGATCATTGTCCTGTTGAAAGGTCCAACGTCTCCCAAGCCTCAGGTGTGTGACGGACTGCATCACGTTTCCATCCAATATCTCCTGGTACTGAAGAGAATTCATGGTACCTTGCACACGCTGAAGCTTCCCTGTACCTGCAGAAGCAAAACAGCCCCAAAGCATGATTGACCCTCCACCATGCTTCACAGTAGGCAAGGTGTTCTTTTCATCATAGGCCTTGTTCTTCCTCCTCCAAACATAGCGTTGATCCATGGGCCCAAACAGTTCTAATTTTGTTTCATCAGTCCACAGAACACTATCCCACAACTTTTGTGGTTTGTCCACATGGCTTTTGGCATACTGCAGTCGACTCTTCTTATTCTTTGGAGACAGCAAGGGGGTACGCCTGGGAGTTCTGGCACGGAGGCCTTCATTACGCAGTGTGCGTCTTATTGTCTGGGCTGAAACTTCTGTACCCACATCTGACAAATCTTTTCTCAGTTCCTCAGCAGTCACACGGGGACTTCTCTCCACTCTACGCTTCAGGTAGCGCACAGCAGTCGAAGTCAGCATCTTCTTTCTGCCACGACCAGGTAGCGTTTCAACAGTGCCCTTTGCCTTGAATTTGCGAATGATGCTTCCTAAGGTGTCTCTTGGTATGTTTAACATCTTTGCAATCTTCTTATAGCCATTGCCCTTCCTGTGAAGAGAAATCACCTCTTCTCTTGTCTTCCTGGACCATTCTCTTTGCCTTCACCATGTTTGTAACCACACCAGTAAATGTCTAGAAGGAGCTGAGTATCACAGTCATTTTAAAGCTGCCTAATTGGTGCTTATTATGCTTGATTGCTGCTCGGTGACATCCACAGGTGTTTTCAATACCTGATGGAAAGCACCTGTATGAACCTCTGTTCTTCAGAGTGGTAGTCTTTAAGGGGTTGAATAATTGTGGCAATGAAGAAACCACATAAGAACCATTTACTACTGTATTACATAAACAATTGATGTCATTTTAGTTGCATTTGGGTAGTTACAACGTCCTTGTAGGATTTGATTCTGAATACAATTCCAAATGTACACTATAGTCCCTAAACCCCTTTACAGCATTGGGGGTTGAATAATTTTGGTCACAACTGTACACTGCTCAAAAAAATTAAAGGGACACTTTGAAAACATTTCAATGTGGAAAAATATCATACTGGGTATCTATACTGATATGGACTGGGTATTGTGTTAGGAACGTAAGGATGCCCCATCGTTTGATGGAAATGAAAATTACAACCTACAGAGGACTGAATTCAAAGACACAGAAAATCAAACTGAAAAAGTGATGCAGTAGGCTAGTCCATTTTGCTGAAATTTCATTGCAGCAACTCAAAATGGTACTCAGTAGTTTGTATGGCCCCCACGTGCTTGTATGCATGCCTGACAATGTCGGGGCGTGCTCCTAATGAGATGATGGATGGGGTCCTGGGGTATTTTCTCCCAGATCTGGATCAGGGTATTGAGCTCCTGGACAGTCTGAGGTGCAACCTGGCGGCATCGGATGGACTGAAACATGATATCCCAGAGGTGTTTTATTGGATTTAGGTCAGGCGAGCGTGGGAACCATTCAATGATATCAACTTCTTCATCCTCCAGGAACTGCCTGCATACTCTCGCCACATGAGGTTGGGCATGATCGTGCACCAGGAGGAACCCAGGGTCTGACAAGGAGTCCAACGATTTCATCCTGATACCTAATGGCAGTCATGGTGCCATTGTCTAGCCTGTAGAGGTCTGTGTGTCCCTCCATGGATATGCCTCCCCAGACCATTACTGAACCACCACCAAACCAGTAATGCTGAACGATGTTACAGGCAGTATAATGTTCTCCACGGCTTCTCCAGACCCTTTCACATCTGTCACATGTGCTCAGGGTGAACTTTCTCTAATCTGTGAAAAGCACAGGGTGCCAGTGGCGGACCTGCCAATTCTGGTGTTCAATGGCAAATGCCAATTGAACTCTATTGTGCCAGGTATTGAGCAAAGGGCCCACTAGAAGATGTCATGTTGGGCCCTTAGGCCACCCTCATGAAGTCTGTTTCTGATTGGTCAGAGACATTCACACCAGTGGCTTGCTGGAGGTCATTTTGTAGGGCTCTGGCAGTGCTCATCCTGTTCCTCCTTGCACAAAGGAGCAGATACCGGTCCTGCTGATGGGTTAAGGACCTTATACTGCCCTGTCCAGCTCTCCTAGAGTAACTGCTTGTCTCCTGGAATCTCCTCCATGCTCTTGAGATTGTGCTGGGAGACTCAGCAAACCTTCTGGCAATGGCACATATTGATAGTTGGACTGTCTGTGCAACCTCTGTAAGGTCCAGGTATCACCTCATGCTACCAGTAGTGACACTGACCCTAGCCAAATGCAAAACTAGTGAAAAACAGTCAGAAAAAGATGAGAAGGGAAACAAATGTCAGTGGCCTCCACCTGTAAAACCATTCCTATTTTGGGTGTCGTCTCATTGTTGCCCATCTAGTGCACCTGTTGTTACTTTAATTAACACTAAAGCATCTGAAACTGATTAACAACCCCCTCTACTACTTAACTGACCAGATCAATATCCCAGGAGTT